TTCAGATGTCTTCAGAGGAAAAAGTAAACTTTAAGAGAGTGATTACAGAATATTGGCTAATTAGCTGTAATGTAGCTGCTTTAATTGCTTTTATCCCTGAAGCCACATGACTATGCAGATGACTAGCAGATGACTTATTTGAAAAAAAAAAAAAGAGTGTTCACACTGCAAGGTTAATGAGCCTAATTAAATATAGTTTTCCCTAGCCAGACTCGCTCAATCATAAAGTGGGGGGGAAAATCCAAGGCAAACAGTTCTGTTTTAAAATAATGGTTATGTTCTGAATTTTAATAGACAAAAGTTAGGATTGACACTTATTTTTTTTCTGACTAAAGACATTTATGTTTAAAGGTCTGGTAAGATCCCACATGGCAAACTTTGAAAATCTATTTAGAGATGATTATGCTGATACATATTTATTTGTTTTTTCTTCTCCAACCCCTTCTTAATTAATAGAGATGTGTGCTTGAAGAAAGGATCTGTGCTGCATTGGAGTCTCCATCTGCTCCTGCTTATTACCATAACCTTTGTCCTTCCACACCACATCCCTTACAATTTTTTGTTACCCTCTCATGTCTAATATTAGATTGTAAATTCTTCTTGGCAGGGATTTTGGTCCAGATTTTTAAAAGTATTTAGGCATCGCTTCGCTCAGGATTGTAATCTGTAAAAATCTAGGCTCTTGTTTTATTTGTTCTGGTAAGCACCCAGCATGCTTTTTTGGTGCTGTAGTAATAATGATAATGAGCAGATGACTTTTTAAAGGGGTATTGAATGGGAAAGCTGAAAACATGAGTTAACAGAAGACTCCCTTAATGGGATTGTTGGTTTTCCCCAGTTGTCCAGCCATCTCTTGAATGGCACAGACTCAGTTGTGTCTTTTGTTTAAACCAAATATATCTGTTAACATGCTCGTTACTTCCTCAAATATATGTCTGTGATTCTCCCTCCCAGAGAAAGTTACCCAGAGTTCCTCAGTAGCTTTGACCCATGGGTTAACTATGACCATATGAACTGCCATAACCAGATTAGATCATCTAGTACAGTATCATGTCCCTAAGAATGCCCAGTATCAGATGCATCGGAGGAAGTTGCTAAAGACTCCAAAGTGGATAATAATGGAATAACTTGCCCGTGGGGGAAGTTTCTTCTTACCCCCTGAGGGTTTGTCTACACAGCAAAAAGCTGTGTGCAGGCCAGCTGACACACATGCTTGAATCCAGTTAGTGTAGATAACAATAGTAGTGAAGACCATGCAGTGCGGGTAACACAAGCCTTGCATGGTCCCTGGGTATGTACTCGGCTCATTAGCCCACTCTGAGGTCATTGCAGCGCTGTCTTCACTGCTATTGTGTCACTTAGGTAGGCTAACCTGTGGACAGCTTTGGCTGTGTAGACTCATGCTCAGTCAGATTTAGGTTTATGGCATAAGATAGCACAAAAGGAAAGAATTATTGATTTGTAACAAATTGGATTTAACATTCAAATTCTTCCTCTTCTGCATGCTTTGCATATTCTATACAAGCAGTTGTGTTACGACAGAGGTTTTAGCTCCATGAAGAAGTGATACAAAGTTAATTTTCTGACAGATCAACTCAGTTGTCTTTCGTAGCCTTGAACACAGTGAGTGAGTCTGGAAAGAATCAAGATATCATGAACAAAGGGGACTCTTCACTGTTTGCCGTCCAGCGCCAGAGTAACTGTGGACAGTAGGTCTTATTAGAGAAGAGGTGAAACATTTCAGACAAAGTACTGAGCTTCTAAAAGACTTGATCAAGTCTTCCAAAGGGATTGAAAGGTCGTGCTGCCCCCAGTACGTAGTAAAGTTATCAGGAGTCTTGATAAATTGCAGCAAGGTCTAATGATTCTGCCTGTACACTAGGCACGTAGGAGGAGAATCACAACTCTGACACAGATCCATGTTTTAATTCCTATCAGTAGACTAAGTCAAACGTTGTATATAATGGTTTCTGGGAAGCCAGGAACACCGATCACTTCAGGGTCTCAACATCAGATTAGCTCCAGAGGATGCAGAGGTCTTTGTAAGGGATAGTCTACGCTAGAATTGCTACAGCTGCACCGATGTAGCTGAGCCCTTGAAGCGCTGCTAGTGCAGAGAGCTCTCCTGTCCATAGGCACTGAGTTTTTCTTTTCCCTGGTGGGTGCTCCACCCCTACTTTGCCCCAAGGGCCCCCCGCCCCTTCCGTTGCCTTCCCCAAGGCCTTGCTCTCACTCTGCCTCTTCCTGCCCCCTCCCTGTGGCCCCTATGTGCTCACTGCTCTCTGCCCTCCTCCAGCTGCCAATCAGCTAATTGGGGGCGCTGCCAAGCAGCTGATTGGGGGTGCAGCCAAACAGCTGTGGCTGGTGAGTGCAGCATACCCACTATTTTTTTTTTTCCCCCATGGGTGCTCCAGTCGGTGGGAGAGCTTCTCCTGTTGACATAGCGCTGTCCACACCGGCACTTAGGTAAGTGTAACATATATTGCTCAGGAGGGTGGCTTTTCCACACCCCTGAGAGACTTAAAGTTATACCGAAGTAAGTGCTAGTGTGTACAAGCCCTAAGGGATCAGCTACCTTATAGTTAAACTGTTTATATGTGCATTTTCAAAGGTCTTCTGGTTGCATTTCATTTGTCAAAAATTCTTAAAGGGATGAAAATTCCACCACCAACCCCAGGTTATAGGAACATATAGCTATAGCCCTTTCCAATATTTTCAGAGATGTGGGGCGAGACCAGAGTGCTGTTCCTTTGAAACAGAATGTGCAGGTTTTTGACTTAGCCCATGCAGAATCATTGAGGTTCTTCTGTTATAAAATGTGTTTGCAATTACATAAATTCCTTCCACTCTGATTTTAAAGCATAAGTGGATGTGTATGGTGAATGCTGCTATAATCTTGATGGAAACTTTACAAATTTGTAAATGATCATTTGTTCTCTAGAATTACATCTAACACACTTGGTTCATTTTGATTTCTCTGCTTGCAGCCAGTATTTTCTCTCTGTCTTTGTTGCTTGTTTAATTATCTGTAAATAAATACATGGTAGTAAGAAAATGTTGGCATGGTGGGATGTTAAAATTTTGCATGTTGTTAGCTCTGTACAGATGTCTCTAGTTACTCTGCTGATAAACGCAGTTAAAACACTACATGGGCAGTTTCTAGATTGATGGAAGAATTCTTTTACTGACCTAGTGCTGTCTATACTGGGGATTAGGTTTCCTTAGCTACATCACTCAGGAGTATGGATTTTTCACACCCCTGAGCAACATAACTGAGTCAACCTAACTTTTTAGCATAGACCAGGCCTTAGTTTTTTGCGTTTATTCTGCGTTCCTACCACATCTGTCCTTAACTTTCCAGTCACACTTGTTTCCTCCTTAAGCTTCCAGCAAGTCCCAGGTCATATCTAAATTAGGAAAACAGGTTGTGCTTAAAAATGCATTGTCTCATATATTTGAACTAACATGATTTTAAACACAAACATCGATAAGGTTTAACAACTTTAAAAATGGGTTAGCTAGTCATAGTCAACCCTAGAGTCCCATGAGGAAAAAGACTTGGGCCAAGGTTTCTAAAGGTGCTTTGTGATTTTTGGTTGCCTCAGCTGTTAGGTGTCCAACCTAAGACTCTTCAAAGGGACCTGATTTTTCAGAAAGTGCAGAGTACCCACCTGCTGAAAAATTAAGCCCCTTCAAGGTACCTCTATTTGGGCTTTAAAAAATGGAGGCAGTCGGAATCACTAGTCACTTTTGGAAATGTTACCCTTGAATCGTTGCACTGTCCATAGGTAAGTTATCTTCAGGCACAGGGTTTAATTCCCTGGTCAAGAGATATTTAGGAAGAACTAGTTGCAGTTTAGCTGACCATAGATTTATAGATTATTTTTCTTTGCTTATATCTGTCTGCCTTTAGTTTCATCATTGACTCATTACTTGATCAAGAGGATATGTACACAAGTGAACATTAATTCAAACATTTGCATTGTCATGCCCTTGGAAGTTTAAAAGTTGAAGATGTAGAAGGCTCAATCCTGGAATGTGCTGAGTGCCCTCAGCTCTCATTTGCTAGTTAGCCTGTTTTCAAAAGTGGATGTTCATTGTGGGTGCCTCCAATTTTTGGTGCTCAGCTTGGAACAGTTTAGGCCTGACTATCAGAGGTGGGGAGAAGCCACAGCTCCTGTTGACTTCACTTGCAGTTTGTGGATGCACAACATCCAACTCAGTACCCACTTTTGAATGTTCTGCCTTCAATTTCCTTAAGGGCTGAGAGTGCTTAGCACCTCTTAGGGAGTATGTAGCATCTTACAGGTTTTGAGAGAGTCAGTTTGTGTGTGTGTGTGAGTGTGTGTGTTAAAAAATGGATGATTTAGAAACTGATAAATACAGGGCCTGATCTGTAGGCTCCTAGTTTAAATTCACCTAGGACAATAGTGACCCAAACTCCTTACCATCACAGGCGTTGTGTGGTAGCTTTGGTGAAAGGTGATGGCATGAGTATAGAACCCAGGAGACAAGTGTCCACATCACAATTGGTTATAACTGGCAGCCTGAGCAGAGAGCAGCCAAAGATTGAACGGGCATGCTCTTGCCCCTCAAGGGACAAGTGAGGGGTTAGTGAAGCACACTGGTGGGCAGTGTGAGGAAGCTGAACCGCCATTTCTGTGCTGTACTTCTTATAGGCATAGAAGATTTCAGAGTCCAGGACTAGCAATCTGCCATCCTTCAACACCATTAAATTAACTCAGAAGTTTTAAAGGGAAACAAAAAGTCAGTATATACATCTGATTCACAGACCCTTCCCTTGAATAAGTGTTGACAAGGTGTCACGTTAAAGGGGTTTTTAATATTTTGGATTGGTGAAAGGCCTTTAAGCCCTTAAAGGGACACATGAGTCCAAAGCTGCCTTCAAAGGACTTGAATTATAAGGAGGACCTCTCCTTTTTAAATACCACTAAAATATATTAAAAATACACTAAAACTAATGGGAGTTTTCTTCGTAGACCTTGGCTCGATCTCAAGAGTGCAAGTGAATCAACCTGCAGTTATAAGGCATGCAGAACAAATTCAGTCACGAAGAACTGTGAAAAAGGATTGGCAAGTAAGTGCTCTTTTTAAGCATTCTGTTCCTGTATATTTAAAGCAGTCATTTTCGCTCTCTAGACTGTAGTATTGAATTTCATTCAAGATGCATGTAAACCTAAAAGATTGTGGTTGTCCATGTCTTATTTTAATAATTTGTATTTGATGATGAGTTGGAATAAGATAATGCATTTATCCAAAAAAGTTAAAAACCTGATAACTCATGAGTGGCCAAACTACAAATGAATTGCAGGCATCTTTATTCATGAGTGGATTAAATTGTATATTACTATCCTAGCATATTTATTCTGTTTCCCAGACACATCTCTCTACAAAGTCTTATTTTTTAATTTTAAAGCTGTATGATATAATTGTGGTCCCTGTCAAGTTTGACCTACCTAACTGGTTTTTTTTCCTTAACTATCCCGAATGGGTGATTTTTGCTTAACTAGTTACGTACAATTCAAAATACTCAATTTACTGTGGGACTCATGGTAAAGAAATTAGTACATCATGCATGTTAAGGGGGCTGATTCTGCAACCCTTATGCATGTTGAGCAGTATTTTGCCAGGAGTCCCACTGGCTTCAGAGGGGCTACTTGTTACATTACATTATAATTGGCATTTCTGAGCTTATGGCTGGTGGCAGCCCTCTTGACAAAACTTGTGATGCTAGAGGCCAAATTCAGCCCTGGTGTAAGTGAGCACAGTTCCCATGGATCACAGTGAAAGTTCTCTGTTTACATCAGGATGCATTTGGTGTTATCAATGTGAAAACCCAGTGGAAGAATCTGTAAGACCGCTTTCTACCCTGGTATAAGAACTGTTTAACAATCATAACGTTAATAGTTCAAAAACACACTTTTAAACCATCATTTTTTCTCCAGTCTGTTACAGCAAGTTTAAGGCAGGTTGGAAGCGTCCCCCCAGCATTAGGCTGAGAAACACCAGTAGTGATTAAAAAAAAATCTTGGAGTGCTTCTTAACCTAGAGAACATTTAGATGCTTGGAGCCTGATTCTCTACTCCCTTTCATTTGTACCTGTGTGAAGTGGGTATAAAACAAGAGCCAGCAAACAGAGCTGTAAACAGGGGGAGTTTGAGTGGGAGGTCTGTTGCAGGAGAAGGGAGGATTGGGCAAGCCCCTGTACCTTAAAGGCAGTGAGTGAGTTTTGTGTGTGTTGTGTGTTTTTTTCTGTTTTGTGGGGTGGGGTTGGTTTTTGTTTTGTTCTGTTCAGTTTGCAGAGGCTGGTAGGAGGCAGTGTGCTGTGTGGGAAGCAGAACCCTGATTAGGGGGCGGGGCTTTCCTGATTAGGAGTCCTATAAAGGCAGGCAAGCAGTCAGCCAGCAGCACAGGAGCCAGCAAACTGGGTTTGTTGGGTTTTTGTTTTGGGGTTTTGTTTTTGTTTTTTCTTTTTCACTGAAAGGTGCTTAGGAGGGTAGGGTATGACAGCTACAGAGGCAGCAGTGGTAGTGATCCAAGGAATGGAAGAGACAAATGAGGATGACCAGATATGGAAACTGTGGCATGTACATTTTCCTGAGCAGGTACCTGAAAAGAGCTTGCTTTTTATGAAGTGCCGCCTGACAGAGCTGGTGGAAGAGAAGATATGAGGCTTGGAAATGCAGGTGAAAACTATGGTTGAGTTTTGAAGGGTTCCAAGCAGGTGATGGACGGAAGGCAAGAGCAGGTTGAAGGGAAAAGCCAAGACTCACAGATGCAAGCTGGACTGAAGAACTTGGAGTGGAGACTGCTGGGTGAGGAAAGTGGCCAATGGAAGCGTGTGACTATGAGAATCAGGCAGAGGAAAGGACTGGCTAGTTAAGGGGAAATAGAGCTCAGGACCGGTTTGCTGAGTTGAAAAAGGAAGAAGGGACTGTAACTGAAGGAGGGAGGACAAGGAAGACGAGAACAGCGGCTAGTCATAAGAAGAGGGGAAGAGCCAGTGGAGATACCCAGAGTTCAGAGCCCCAGGAGGATACAGGAAGACTCACAGAAGATTGCAAGGGAGAATAAAAGACAAGAGGACTTGAAATCAGAAAGAACAGGAGGAAGTCTGGAGAATCACACCATCACCAAGAAAAAGCAAGTCTATGTGATTGGTGACTCCTTGCTAAGACGAACAGACAGGTCTGTCACCAGAGCTGATCCGGAGAACAGAAGGGTGTGTGCTGTCTGCCAGGAGCTAAGATATGGGATGTGAGCCTGATCCTGAAGAGGATCCTAATGGGAGCAGGAAAGAATCTACTGATTGACTTTATGTGGGAACAAATGAGACAGCTAGATTCTCGCTGGAACTCATCAAGGAAAACTATGCCAGGCTGGGGAAGACACTTAAGGAAACGGAGGCTCAGGTGATCTTCAGTGGAATTCTGCCTGTCCCTAGAGGAGGAAAATGAAAGCAAGACAAGATTATGATGCTCAACAGATGGCTCAGTGGTGCTATTAGGAATGCTTTGGGATGTCTGACCACTGGGAGGCATTCATGGACAGAGGACGGTTCTCATGGAATGGACTCCACTTGAGTAGGGAGGGAAATAGACATCTGGGATGGAGGCTGGAACCATTGATAGAAAGAGCATTAAACTAGGAACTTTGGGGAGATGCTCATGTAATCTCCACACCTGATTCTAATATTGAGCAGGAGGAAAATCAGGTAAGAAAAGATACAGCAATGAGAAAGTAACGGCAGTGGGTAGGAAAATGAACATTAAGAGGAGAGAGAGTGCTGATACCAAAGAAGCTAACAGTCAGGTAGGCAATACTGGCAGCAGAATGACTGTACTCAGTCAGGTGAGGAAGCAGAAACAACTAAGATGTTTCTACAGCAATGCAAGGAGCCTGGGTAACACAACGAAGGAACTAGAGCTACTGGTGCAGAAAGTGAAACCAGATATTATGGGAATAACAGAAACATGGTGGAGTAGTAGTCATGATTGTAGTACAGGTATTGACGGGTATGTGGTGTTCAGAAAAGACAGAAATAAAGGTAAAGGTGGTAGAGTAGCATTGTATGTAATGATGAGGTAGACTGGAAAGAAGTTAGAAGTAACGGAATGGATAAGACAGAGTCTGTTTGGGCTAAAATCACTTTGGGGAAGAAAGCTACTAGTGGGTCTCCTGGGATAGCGCTTGATCAACAGATGGGGTGTGCTACAGACCACCAGGATCCGATTTGGATATGGAGAGAGACCTCTAATGTTTTTAATGAAATAAGTATTACTGGGAATTGAGTGATTATGGGAGACTTTAAGTTCCCAGATATAGATTGGAGGACAAGTGCTACTAAGAATAGTAGAGTCCAGATTTTCCTGGATGTGATAGCTGGCAGATTTCTTTACCAAACAGTTGCTGATCACCAAGAGGTGAAGCCATTTTAGATTTGGTTCTGGTGAGTAGTGAGGACCTCCTAGAAGAGCTGGTGTTAGGGAGTATGAGCTAATTCAGTTTAAACTAAATGGAAGGATAAACAAAAAATAAATAGATCTGCAACTAGGGTCCTTGATTTCAAAAGGACAAACTTAAAAACATTAAGGGAATTAGTTAGGGAAGTGGTCTGGACTGAAGAACTCAAGGATCTAAATGCAGAGGAGGCTTGGAATTACTTTAGGTCAAAGTTGCAGAAATGATCTGAAGCCTGAATCCCAAGCAAGGGGAAAAACCTTGTAGGGAAGTGTTTGAGACCAAGCTGGATGAGCAAGCATCTCAAACAGGTGATTAAGAGAAAGCAGAAAGTCTACAAGGAATGGAAGATGGGGTGGATCAGCAACAAACTAACCTCAGAGACAAACTGTCTAAGCAGATTTCAGAGTAGCAGCCGTGTTAGTCTGTATTCGCAAAAAGAAAAGGATGCATCCGATGAAGTGAGCTGTAGCTCACGAAAGCTTATGCTCAAATAAATTGGTTAGTCGCTAAGGTGCCACAAGTACTCCTTTTCTTTTGTCTAAGCAGAAAGCATAGTATAAAAATACTTGTAAACGTTCATTTGTAATGAAAATTATGGTGCTTATGATAAACCGTGTGATCAAAAACAAGGTTTATCATTAGCACCATAACTAGTCACTAGGTTTTCCTTTATCTTAGTATTTCCCTTGGCATATGCCTTTAATTCAATCATATCTTGAGGGCTGTGGTATTTGAGTGTTCGGTGAGGTAAGGATGTAGGGGAATCTTGTATACTAGCAGACCTTCTGTGGAGCTGTCTCCCAACATCATGGTTGTGCACGTGTAAAAAGCCTATTTACCTTCTTGGGATTAATTTGTGGCCCTCACCTTCAGGACCCAGCCCTTCTCCACTTCCTGTAGGGTTGTAATCTGAGCCTTCTTGTGTAAACAACTCTGCTGCTGACCAGGAATGTCTGTTTCTAGCAGCATCCTCTCAGCAGCTTTCTTTGGGTAAGTGGCAAAGCTCCCTTCCCCCTCCCAGCCTGTTAATTTGCATGTTCACAGATACTGCTGGCTGCTTCGTTTTGAATCTACTTTGAATCTTCAGAGACTGGCCTCTCTCTGAGAATTTCCACCTGCATGTCCGAATCAGTGTCCTGATGACTTTCAACTATTAAATTGTGCTTCCACATGGAATCAGATGTGCCTGAGCTCACTAGGACATATTCAAAGGGTCTAGAGGTGAGAGTCTGTCTACCACCACCCTTTGTGTTCCCGACGACTGTTCGTCTGCCTGGCTGCTCTGCTCTGAAAAGTCAGTTACCCACCCTACCCTCTGGATCTGAGACACAAGCCGGATGGACAGGTGCTGCATCAGCCTCCCTGTCCTGGGCATTTTCCATTAAAGAGTCAGCATAGGAATACCCATGTGCCAACAACTGTACTACTCCAGAATGCTGGTTGGGCAAAGCCAACTGGTTACAGGGCGTTTTTATAGGCCCCAAAAATTCTTTTTCCATTTTCCCCTTCTGAAACCTTCGCTAAGCCACCTTTCCTGGTGCTCTGTAGAGTTAAGTCAGTGGAGCTGTGCTCAGCTGAAAAACTCTGGCAGTTAGTAATGGGGACAGTCTTTTCAGTGGGTACACTGCTACTCTCAACAGACAATGATTCTTGAGCTAATTGGAGCAATTCTCTCCTGCACAGCTATCCATTCATTCACAAGTTCACTAGGAAGCCTCTCTTTCCCTGAAGGAGCCTTCCTAAACAAAAATCCATTTTTCATAAAAAATCTTCTCCTTCCTTCTTCAGCTGGGGCACTACTCTGAGCAGCAACAAATTCTTCCTGTGTTTAATTTAAGTCCAGAATCACCTCAGAATCATATCAGACAAGTTCTCAACTGTCATAAACTGGGAGACACTCTTTGCCTGCTCACAGTTTTCCTCACTGACACCAGCTGCATCAAAGCCATACCTTCCCTGTGACCTGGTTATGATATTAGCTTGATTAAATATAGTTACGATGTTGTTAACAATCAAGATATCAGCGGGTAGCAAATCGCGAATACCAACCACAATATCACCTTTAAAAATTTCCCCCTCCAGGTGGATTTTGGCCAAAAGTACTTTCACAGAGAACTCAGAGAGCCAAAATATTTACACTTTTATTTGGCAACAAATGTCCTGCTCTGACAAGACTTCTCTTAACTAAAGTAATGTCAGATGCTTAACCGTGCCGTCCTACACATCTAACGTTATTAACTTTTGCGCTGTTAATAAAATTCTTTGCCACCATCCAAAGACTCTGCATTAATATAATTCGTGGGGTCATTCCCTTCCTTTTCCATCTCCTTTCAGACTAAGAGACAGCATTTGCACGCCAGGTGGCAGTGTTAGTGCTTACATGGTTAGCCTCTGTATGTAACATCATTGTTCTGTATGTAACATCATTAGCACTCAAGGCGGGTTTCGTGGGTGCAGACTGTTGGGTGTTTTTAAGGTTTGGGCAATTGGGTTTTATATGGCATGGGTCCCACAGTGATTACAGATCACCTGTTTCCTGTTAGAGTGAGAGATTTTATGTTTTGGACTTTTATGAGGTTATTTAACAAAATTGGGGTTAGGTTTATTCTCAAACCTTTCAGCCCTTTTAAATTGGGGTGCAGAGGGATTACTTTTCCCCTGGGGCTTACACTCACGAGTCCTATTTTCTATGTATTTGTCATCGATTTCTGCTGCTTTTTAAAACTGAGTCAGCCTATCACAAACTGTAGCCTTAACATCTTCTGGTGTCAGCCTAAACAACTGCTCTAGAGTAATTAAATTCAACAGTTTACCAAAGTCATCATATGCTCCCGCTCCCATGACCCACTTCTTAACATAACCAAGCAGTTTGTGTGTGCATTCCACATAAGTAACATTATCAGACATCTTAAGATTACTAAATTTCAACCTATAGGACTCAGGAGTAATTTTAACCTTTGCAATATAGTTGCTTTAATCTTTTTATAATTCAAAGCTTCCTCCAGCCCATTTCATTAGACACTTGCCTCGCTTTGCCAGTCAATTTGGTCAAGAGAATTGGCATCCAGTTTTCTTCTGGAATTTTATGAACACCACAGAATGTAGATAAAAATTCAAGATACTTAGATTCTTTATAAATTTGGCAGGTTTTATCCCAGTCTCTGTTGAGAGGAGAAGTATCCACAGGCTGTTCTCTTTGCCTGTTCAGGACTTGGCATTGCAGTGTGTGAGCCTCTACCTTTTTTTGATGTGCTTCTCTCTCGGCTTGTATCTCTTCCATGTGCATTTTATGAGCCTCCTTTTCAGTTTCAACCTCTGCTAGGTGTCTCTGGTATGCCCTTTCCTCTGCATCCTCAGCCTCCTTCTCCTTCATTTGAAGTGCTGCCATTTTTTCCTTCATGCTCAAACTGTTGCTTGTTTGCCAGGGTCTGCATCTGGATTGCCTCTGCTGCTACTTTTTGGTCACATTCCATGAGCAAATCTTTCCTCCCCTGACCAGAGATGTCCCCTGTAAGACCTATTCTTCTATCTTTACATACCTTTTTAAGTTCATAACCTCATAGGATTGTGACTCCCCCCAACCCTTAATTCTTCGTGCCACCAGTGATGGTGCTGGAACTTCTAGCATTGTTTTGTTCTCAGTTCTTGAGACCTTTGAAAACCTGTAATATAGTTGTATATAGTTAGTAGTTCTTAGTTACCCCAGTCCCCGTGCCCCAGTCCCCAGGCTTTAAGCCCTGTGATTGATGCAAACGGCCTATGCCCGTCAGTGATCCACATACCAGCAGCCTAAGATGCTTGGGCGAAGGGCACATAAGTGACAAGTGCAGTACCTGCAAGTTCTTCAAACCTAGGATGAAGAAGGAGCGCGATATCCATCTGAAAGCAGTCCTGATGGAGTTGGCACTCACTCTGGCACCGGAGTAGCGGTCCAACTCCGCACCAAGCATCGCGGCCTCCGTGTGCAGTGCTCCACTGGCGCCATCCATGAGCCAGCACCAGTCCCCCTCCACAGCTCCGGTCAAGAAGTCAAAAAAGACTGTGAGGGGAAGATCTCCTACCTCCTGGAAGGGAAAGGAGAGGGCGGGGGGCGAGCCATGACCCATGCCAGGCTGCTCAATGCCCCCATTGGGAACTTGGGCCCCAGCCTAGGTCGAGCAGTGCAGCCCATCCCATACTTTGCCTGGGACCCCAGATAGCATTGCGGGCCCAGGCCAGCTTCAGGTGCTGTCGACGCCTGAAGCCCTTCAAGCGGCTCAGGAGATCCTGACCCTCTCGGTGCCACCCACACTGGCTCCAGTGGTATCCTGGTCTCAAGGAAAGCCCGCGTTGGGACCTATACGTCTGTCCCTGCCTCAGCAGCACCATTTCCCATCAAGAGGGATGTCCTGCCATCGCTCGCCCGCCTGAAGCTGTCATGCCTTAGGACTAGAGAGACAGGCTCAGCTGAGCCCTCTTCGGTCCTTGCACCAGGGTTAGCGATCAAGGGACTCAAGGCATACCTTGCTGGTGGATTGGTGCAGACCTTCTGTGGCATGTGCCACCTGGCAGAAACTCTGGGACCTGACCCGACAGTTTCCAAGGGTCCGGTACCGATCAGACACCAGAGACCGCCGATCGCCAGGCCGTCATTGCCCATCTCCAAGAAGGAGATTGCACTACTCAGGGCGATCTTCCCAGCAACCAGCCCGTAGTAGCTTCCAGTCCCGTTTGACGTCCCGGTACTGGTCGAGTAGCGTGAGGCGTGGATCGCCGGTATCTGGCGCAGATCCACTGAACGCCATTGGTCCCTGAGAGCCCAACCAAGACAATCTTGCTCGGACTGGTCAGCTTTGCATGTAGTGACCGGCACTGGTTGGACAAGAGCCACCGCTCAGCCCGATCCTCATCGCCCAGTACCAACCGTTCCGCTGGTAGCTCCGGCTCAGAGCAAGGTTCCCTGACTGCGGGACAAGCCCGGGTACCAGTGGTGCCGACTACATTATCAGCACCAAAACCTGTCCCATGGCCCCAAGTGCAGTGGCTGGCACCATGGTACCCATGGAACCCCTGGGAGTTCACCCAACCTTCTCAGGCTGCCTGATTGGTGCTGGAGCCTCAGTATCCTGTCCCACGCCGGTGCTCGAGGCTTCAGGCGGTAAGACCCTGCAGGTGCAGGAGGACCCAGTGGAGCAAGCTGCTGGACCACCAATGGATGTGGAGGTGGCACTGGTATCGTCATTGCCAAACAAGGCTATCACGGGGCCCCCTCATCCAGTTCCTCAGGATGACACCAAGGTGCACCAGGAACTTTTGAAGAGGGTCGCTTCTAAACTGGGGCATCAGGCAGAGGAATTGGAAGAGCCTTTGGACTCTGTTTGACGTCCTCTGGTCCTTGGCCTTACCCCTTCATGAAGGGGTCTCCAAGATCACTAATACCCTGTGGCAGACCTCGTCTTCCCTGGTGCCTATCTCTAAAAGAGCTGAGAGGTACTTCGTGCCAACCAAAGGGCGTGAGTACTTATACTCCCACCCAGCCCCCAGTGCCCTTGTGATTGAGGCAGTTAACCATAAGGAGAGGCAGGGACAACCCAGGGCCACCGCCAAAAATAAAGACTTGAGGAGGCTGGATCTTTTCAGATGTAAAGTTTATTCGTCTTCCAACCTTCAGCTGAGGGTAGCCAACCACCCTCCTTGGCCGATATGACTTCAGTATGTGGCAAGCCAAGTTTGAAGGGTGGCTCCCCGATGCTTTCAAGGAGGATTTCCGAACCATCCTTGATGAGGGCACGACTGCGGCCAAGGCAGCCCTCCAGGAGGCATCAGATGCTGCTGCCCACACCTGGCTTCAGCTATTTCCATGTGGTGAGTCACATAACCAGGTGTTCCTCTCTGGGTTGTCCACCAGGGCCCAGCAGTCATTGCAGGACCTGCCCTTCAACGGCAGGGCCCTATTTGCAGAGCAAACAGACAGCAAGTTGCATGGCCTCAAGGTCCCCCGCACCACCCTGAAAACCCTGGGTCTCTACATCCCAGCCCTGGCATATAAGCGGTTCAAACTACAGCAGCCTCAGGGCCAGGGGAGCCAGCTTCGGCAGGACCAGCCCTATAAACGAGCCAAAGGTTACAAGCACCGCCTGAGCCACCCGCCTCCACCCTCTGCCCAGTGGGGCTCAACCCGTAATAAGCAGGGGGCCAAACAGTTGTTTTGAGGGTGTGCCCAAGGGCGACCTACCAGACTC